GTCTTCTTCGACGGCATCGAAAGCGGCTTAATCTACGGCGAACTTGTTGGACTACTTGCTCAGGCTATTGGCCCAGGCAGCCTCAGTTTCAAGGAACGGTGCGAGAAGCTATGTCTCATTAACTTCATACTTACAAATTTCAACATACACGAAGAGGAAATGGTAACTTTACATGCACCATTGTTTTGCCTAGCGGCATTATCAATGCTGGAAGGGTCCAAGGACCAAGATCGAAGCTCCCCCGATGCCTACAAACTCGCCGAGAAAGCACTCTCCGTCACCATATCTTTTCTAGAGCTTGTTCCTAGTCGAACATTCCCGGAAATCGGTCAGAAAGAGCCCGTCAGCTCGAGCTCGCCCACCAATATTGATCTCCTGAAAAAAATACAGAAATTCTATGTCAGCGAGCAAGGCAATTTAGAGGCAGTCAAAGCTCCCTTCGAGCCGCAAGAGATTGGGGCGATTCTACTACAAAAAACAGTAGAATTAATTTGTGACGACTTCCACCCGGTAGATCCTACGGCACGCATACTATCTTTAGCTCTAGCAAATATGCCTTCAAGCTATGAGGTCAATGTCGATCGGCTCTTGAGCTTCTTCCAGGAGCGGCTCGGGCAAAAGAATACTCTATCATTCGCAGAGTTTGCATCGATTGTGCAACTCGCCACTGAGCTTCACAGTGCTGAAAGGCTATCCACGTTGGAATTGTCAAAGCTTAGTAGATTGCTCGTGAGGCATGCGTGGACGTATCTCGCAGCAGGGGATCCCAAGTTTCATGTCGAAGCCGTCCGCAACCTGTGGCAACTGCAAACCTCGCTCACGTTGTCTGATCGGAATATTGAGGCCACACTCGCTGCCCTGATGGTATCGAATGGATCGCATGGGGCCATTTCTACGTGCTCTACGACCGAGATGCATGTATTCAACGTCCTATGGTCTCATACTCTTCAAGACAACCCGTCTGATAGGCGAGGAGGGAAGACGCCCGTGAAGACACCCATCATAGACACTTACGTTATCCCTCGACTAGCGGGCATGGATCATTTTGAGGTCATGCTAACTCGACCGGTCTTCCTTGTGCTCGACTCTTTGCTTGATGAAAGATCAAAGTCTTATATGACCGCCAAATCGTGGCTGAACAGCATGATTGGCATCGATAGGTAAGGCCACACCCATCTAACCCTCGCTAATGCTTGATGCTTTTCGTTTCTGACACCCGCAGGCTATTTCTCATTTTCGCGATTAAATTTAGCGAGCTTGGCTTTTTAGAAAACCTGCTGGCTGAAGAAGAACTTGAAAAACCTCTGGCTGTTTCAACAAACTTTTCTGACGATGATGACCTCGATTTGTGTCTCTACTACCTACGGTCGCTCTCTAATGTTCTGAGTTGCGGCGGGGACATTATATGGTCAGTTTTCGCGACGAAGCACATTGCACTTCAAAGCTCTACATTACACATCAGTTGTAAGCGGCCTCCCTCCCGTAAATCTTCTTCAGCAAGACTGTTGTTGCTAACATTTTCCTAGCTGGAGGAGAAGAAGGCGATCTGACATTGCAAGATTACTTTGTGCGAGTGTGTCTGAGGTGTATCCTGGGCGATACCGAGGAGACGGCAGGAGACGACCTCAAGGCCCGTGTCTCGGAACTTCAGCGCTTTGCTCTACGGCTCTTACATCAGTTGTTCCTGGGCTACCATGCCGCTCCTCTTGCTAGCCTTCATCTCGAATATCCTCTTATTGACCGGCTCGCTCTCGCTATAGATTCTGCCGATCCTTTCTCTCAGGTCCTCTTACTACAGGTCATCGATGCAGCCCTCAAGATCCGCGATGCTTATATACCGGAAGGCTCAATTAACTCGCCAAATGAAAGGGCGAGTGATGTCGCAGAAGGGTTACGGCCGAATCGGCCGTCTATAACCCTTCAACGCGAAGAGCCACCGCTTATGCCACCCCCTCCGCAACTACTAAAATGTCTTCGAGCGGCTCTTAGTTCGCCGAGCAGCAGACCAGTTTTGGATAGTTGGATGTCATTCTTGGCCCAGTGTCTACCGCTTTATACGGATTCGATCTTCCAGATCTTGATACCTCTTGTTGAGACATTGTGCGGCCAGATTGATGCAACATTTTCCAGTCTACGAGATACTTTCAAATCTGGCTCTTACACCCCGGGAACAGATTCAGTAGCACCCGAATCTACTTTGATCTATCTCCTAAATGGTCTGGAACAGGTTCTTGCCAGGGCCCATGACCAGTTACTGGCTGAAGAAGCGAGGGCTCTTAGTGTCAAAAGCCCTGACCAGCCACAGTCGGTCTTTGGGAGCATGATCTCTGGTGTCTTCCAGTCAGACGCCCAGCACACCCGCAGCGCAACTGCCAACAACAGACTCACTGTGCACCTGGCATTCCAAGACGCGACTCGAATGTGCTATAATATATGGTCGTGGGGCCTAGGGGAGGAGGCAGTGCAACAAGACGAGAGTTCCCAGGCATCATTTAGGCACACATCTCTCAGGATGAGAAACCGAGCAAGACGGCTGTTAGACCATCTTTTCACCGCTGAAACTTTGGAATGCCTTGAGACTGTGATAGATGTGTGGAAGAAGAAAAGTCGACCTGATAGCAAGGCCGAGGTCTTCAACTTCCTCTCCGCACTTGAAGCTGCTCGACCCAGGCGTGCAGTTCCAGCCTTATTCAACGCCATCTATAGCCGAACCAACCCAACCGCTCTGGAGCCGTCCCGAAAATCAACCATGACTATATCAATTGATGATCATGACCTTGTCTACTTCCTTGTCGAATACGGGCGCTCTCTAGACGATGATGCGATGGATGAGATTTGGCAGGATTGTATTGTGTTCCTCAAGGATCTGCTTAGCAACCCATTCCCTCATCGCCAAAACCTCCCAGGTCTACTTGAATTCACGGCTATCTTGGGTGAGAAAGTAGACAATACCAATTTTGGCGAGCAGAAGAAGATGCGAAGAGAGCTCGGGGTAAGCCACCTTTCCGTTGAACTTGATAACTTGCCTTCCGCATGCTTGAGTGCTAATATAACTGTAGGATTTATTTCTGAAACTTCTTGCTGCCTTATTCACCACTCGCCCAATGACGTTCACCGAGTTTACCTCATCATCCAATGGCGCATCTGAGCGATCCTCACGATCGGAGCTATCTCGACGGAATACAGCTCTTGGCGCTGGAGATGGTGCCACCGATGTCGTCCAGAGGCTGGCCTCCATAGTGCCAAACCTACCAAAGATTCTGGTAGAACCAGATCGTGTGTTGGCTGCCGCCGGTGCTATATCTACCAATATCATTGCGCCTACGTTCCGCTCAAAGTCCTTTCCTGACACTGTTTCAGAAAGTACCATGGCATTGTTACACGAGTTATCAAGACTACAAAACAACCAAAAGACATGGAAGAAGGATGTCAGCGACGCCCTGAATGATTCTAGGTTTTTCGGAATGCATCTTGACTTGGTCCATGGCGGTTGGATCCCCTTGCTGAAGCAGTGGATTCTCACCGACAAGGAGAAGATCACTGAAATCGTCAGCCGCATCACCCCCCCTACTACAGCCGGTATTGTCTTCGGCGTGGGAGCGACATCTGCTCGCCTGGAAGCAGACCGCAGAACTCAGGTCAACCTGCGACGTATCGCGACATTAATCCTTGCGTCTGCGGAAGACACCTTCGTAACAGAGCTCCCAACCATCTTCGACAAGCTCGTAGAGCTCCTGGCAGCAACATCGACGTCCTCGCCCTCGTCAACGACACGGGCAGATGTGTACATGGTTATCCGAGCACTCGTCCTCAGGATCAGCCCAATCCACCTCGCCATGATATGGCCCGTCGTCAACGCAGAGCTGCACGTCGCCATCTCCTCCATCGCCGCCCCGGAAAACACCCCGACCAGCGAGACCTTCCCCCACCTCGTCGTCCTCCAGGCCTGCAAGCTCCTGGACCTCCTCATCTGCGTGGGGCCCGACGACTTCCAGCTCCACGAGTGGCTCTTCATCACCGACACCATCGACGCGGTCCACCGCTACACCAACTCCTCCCCCGTGGCGCTGGTCGACGAGCTCTCCGAGAAGCTCGGCAGCGCCGCCACCGAGGAAGGGTCCCTCCTCGGCGCCAGCTCGTACCGGCGCCCGCTCATCGGCGGGCCCGGCGGCATCAACGACGAGACACCGATCGAGCGCCGGGACGAGCTGATCGCTAAGATCCTGAAGCCCTTCTTCGGTCAGCTGAGCATCATGGCGTTTGAGTCGACGTATGCCATGGGCGTGTTGGACAGGGAGGTCTGCGAGGCGGGCCTGCTAAGGGATTTATTTGATGATCGCACCATAGTAAAGGCGCTGTAGAGGATATATCATAATACGACAATTTTTCCCGTTTTGACTTGGAGTTGTTGATCTTTCAGCGTGAACTGTCGTTTACATAGTATGAGGTTTGTTGTAGTATGTGTATACTGTATGATTTCCAGACTGCTGTATTGTTGCTACCCTTATGATTATTAAGATGGGCTGCGACTTGTATGATAGGGACGGAGAAAGCTCGTACGTAACGGCAGCCTGACCACCTCCTCTTTGCGCAGGTGGAAATCGCTGTGCTTGCATGGTTCTAACAGGGTACATATTGCTACCATCTGTCCGTGAGGGTAGAAATTGCTGTGCTTAGCTTTGTTTGTTGTGCATAATTAACCCTAGACTAGTCACACTCGGAGCCAGCTTACATGTCAGAAGTTATGGCCAACAATATATTACCACCTCCCTGCGCAGGCGGAAACCACTGTGAACTGCATGGGTTATTTCGGTCAAGAAGAACTCGAGAAGGCAATACTGAAAGCAGTAGATTGAAACTATGTACTGGAAAACCGCTCAAAACTTTTTATATCCTGCCAGCGCCTCGCTAAAAATCACATAAATCAAACCCCAAATGTATATACCGGCATCAATCAATATTCGCACATCGTAGTGTGGACCTGAAACATCCCTGCGCCTTTAAATCTCGCCATCGCTATCCGTAGCGGTGCCCTCGTCGAAATTCTCTAGTTCTTCATCATCATCCATGTTGTCACTATCATCATCCTCTTCGTCCTCGTTCAAGCCACGCACCGCCCTCCAGTGGAGATAATCACCCTCGAGCCACCTCTTACTGACAGGCAGCTGGTATGGATCAAAGGGGAAGAAGGGATCTAGCTGGAGAGAGGACTCGTCGCTCGTCTCATGGCCAGCGTCTCTCAGAGCTCCGCCCGTGGCGTAGGTGTTCATGTATTGGGTGAGTCGAAGGCGCTTGTTGGACTCGACTAGCGGATAGACATACATGAACCGCAGACGGTGCGCAAGCTTTGCGAACTCTTCCACGATGACGGGTGCGCAGACCTTTAAGGGGTTGAACTTGCCAAAGATATGAACAGACAGTCCCTGCCTAATGGATCCAGTCCAATCCAACTCATGGCCAAGGTAGGAGGCCGGATCTTCGGGGTCGACGAAGTCGGGGGCGGATTCTACGAGGTCCTGCCATCTAAAACAGAAGATATACATGGCGGCTTGCACCAAACTGTAGTAGAAGAAGAAACGTCTGAGATCTGGGCCGCGACAGATTGATTCATGCCTCCGCTGATACTCGTCCATATGTGCAATGAGTAGAGAGAAAATCTCACGCACGGATTCGCGGGGCACGTTTGCGCCACGAGCAACGAAGCTAGCCAGGTAAGCAACTGCGGCCTGTCGTAAGATGCTCGGGGTATCTCGAGATGATGCTGCCTGGATCATTTGACCGCAAAAGGCGTCTGACAGTCGTGCATCCATTTGAGCAAAATGGAAAATGAGAAACTGGGTGTGGCGGGACTTGTATGTTGGGAGGACCAATTGTTCGAACTCGCGAAGAATGATTGTGAAGTTGTCGTATGCTCTATCAGACCCAGGGCTGAACGCGATAAGAGGTGTGTAGAAGGCAAACAGTGTGTCCAACATGGCATCCATCTTCTCAACATTCTCCTTGACCACCTTGATCCTTGCGGCTTCGCGATCATAATCGGGATCCTCGATGTCCACTGACTCAGTGTCGCTGTCGTCTAAATCGTCATCATCCTCCCATTGCGATTCTTGTCTGTTATGCTCCCGCAAGGCATACATGACGGCGGCAGTGATATCATCGTCGATATCTTCTAAATCGAGCTGCATTTGGGAATCTAATTTTACGATGCGATCTAGGATCAGATCTAAGATTGGTTCTTTGAGATCGGGAGCATACTCTTTCAACCGGAACAAGTTGTCGATGTAGGCCATGTGAACACGCAACGACTCGTCGGGGAAAGGAAATTTGGCGATGAGTTGGTGCTCGAGGACAGAAGTGGCAGACGGGAACATCTCTAGCAGATACCGCAAGGCTTTGTGCAGCCTATCTCGCGCAATGTCGCGGTTGACTTCAGGAAAGTCCGGCACATCCCAGGTAGATGATCGTGTGGCTGTGAACTTGTCGACAATCATAGCCAGCACAGGAAGTAAGTAAGTGCCTTGGGCACTGATCAACGAGGCCAGGAAGCTGGTGAAGACCTTGAGGAACTCCTCATCTCGGCCGAGCCAAGAACATTTGAGGATCGTCTTGACCAGACCATTGCACTCCTTCTCCTTCAGGATGGGCATGCAGCTGGTCAACGCCACAACATAAGCCCGAAGCTCCTGAGGTTTCAGGGTATCATCCTCTTCACCAACAACAGGTGGGAGGTATCGTTGCTTGTCGTCGCCGAAGATTTCCTTGAGGGTGTCGTACGGCCCGTCGTTTCCGCGTCGATGCTCCTCAAGTGCCTCCCTCACTTCTCGCTTGACCTCCTCCATTGTCCTATTGCCAATTTCGTGCGTGGTGTTTCGAGCGATGTCGAAGTCGACTTTGCGATATTTGGCCGGGCGGTATTTGGTCGGGCTACTGGGTACTACGGCTTCTTCATCGTCAAGCCCAGCATCATCTGCCTTTCTCCTCCCAAGGACCGATGATGGTTTCAGAATCGATTTGACAGGAGTGGCTATCCTGGGAGGGCCGGCAATGGGCCTCGCTGAAGACATGAATGGCCTCATGGGGTTAACCAGCCCAAGCGCACCGAGTTAAGATGGTGAGTGAACTATTAAATAGGCGCGGGGTGGGCTGATGATATTTTAACAACTAGGGTGTGATCATAGATTGAAAAGTATGTTGGGCTAGAGCGTGCGAAAGCCTGGCTGTCATAATCGGTCCTGTCTGTTCACAATGAGTAGAATGTGAGACAGAACTGAGCCCAGGGGTCCAAGTGAGGGCGGGGATCCTCAGTTGGCTCTGTACATGTCAGTCCGGCAGTTGGTGAAGCGGGGGTTGATAAACGGTTTGAACTGCGTCAAGATGCGGGAGAGCAAAGTAACTTTTTTTTCCATTGAGGTGATGCTGATTGATGGTGGGCGGCGGGTGAGAGTGGAGCTCTGAAGAAAAAACTGTGGAGAGTGCACGTGCCTCGTAACCATCGTGGTGACGGCAGTGGAGGTTTAGGGTAGCTGAAGGCTGTTGGACTGGACAGGCATCTCAACACCAGCAAGTGGGTGGCAGGAGATGAGACATGAGATTGCAAGGTGGTTTTGACCAGATCATTTTTTACGATAATTGGAATGCTATAACAGTATTGAATCATATGTGTAAGACCTTATCTCTTGAAAATATATCATTAGCCCTCTATAATCTGGCAATGTTAGTCGCAGGCATACAAAATAAGCAGTATACTGTTTGAATGTCTTAAATCCAATGCCACACCCACTTGACCGGTATCTGGACAGCCGGGCTGCTGCAGCGACAACTGGGACTGTTTGCCTGTGGGACCCTTCCATGGCCACACAAGACAAGGCCGGCCGCAGGCCATTCTTTGAGTAACTCCCGTATCCAGTTCCGGAAAAAGAGCTGCTCAGATGCCCTCGTGGTTGCAACAGGGCAAAGACCTAAGTCAATACCATCTCGTGCACGTCGTACTGCGTCTATACGTCTGTACGCATGTACGACGCCATGCAAGAGCAACTAGGGGACAAACATCTGCACTAATTTCCATTAAGGACCATCGCCAAAGACACTAAGAGTTCTGTACAACCTTGTGGAGGTTGGACGTGAAAAACCTAAGAATATATCGCACACCTCTTCTACCCAAGGACCATTAGACACCAAAGTCGTAGTTTTGATAAAAAAAAACCCAAGAAACCCTAACTTAAGGAAAAGGCCAAATAATGAATTTTCCATCCCAAGACTGTCTTCATATCCATGGCACTCGCTGCCCCTGGTGTCCTGGTTGACTGTTGTTTATCTTGGATCATACCTGTCTCAGGAGGCCCCCAAGATGATAGAGGTATACCAAGAGACTGAAGCAAAAGGAACAAGCCAAGAATACACACAAACACGCACACAAAAGAAATCTAATATCCGCCATCAGTAGGATTTCAACCATATGCCTGATAAAAAGGGCCTTGTCTGGTCCTCTCGCATGAAGAATAAGACAACATATCCCTCATCAGCTCTCGACCTGGTCCGCTTAGTAGGTTAGAACTGCGGAGATACAGAAGATTCTCGGAGAATAACGTTTCTGCGTCCAGAACTGAGCCAATTGGTCGTCGAGAAGCTCGGGAGGATTGGTGGTTGGTTGTGTTTGAGGCTGAGAAATGATGATGTGCCTTCGATAATGGTCGACTGGGGAGCTGTGCTTTCCAACTAGTAACCTTCGCCTGCACCGGCGCCGTTATGGCCGGCTTGGGCACCGGAATACAGATAATTGACATCAGCGCCTCCCTCAATGTTGTTGGACCCTTCGGGGGCAGCAGCTGCGCCGTCAGAGGCGACAGCGCCCTCACCCGCGATTTGCCCTCCCCATGACTGGTTCTCAATGACACGGTCTCGGTTGGTCTGATTTTGTTGCTAAACGAAGTTGTTAATGAAAGCGAGGCCAACGTCACGCGGATTGTATTAGGTTAGAGTTACCTCCCGGTACTTAGACAGATAGACCTTCAAGGCCTCGGCGTAGTTCTCAAACCCTAGGGAAGTCATAGCGAATAAGATGTCTTCGCCATTGACAGTCTTTCTCTTCTCCTGCTGGCATTTTTCAGAAGCTGCAGGCAACGCTCTTGGTTAGAAACCTCAATGGCACTATTTGGTCAGGGAATGGGAGGCAATTGGGTACTGACCCTCACTAGTGATGAAGGAGATGAACTCGCTGACACATTCCTGCATACACTCCTTTGCTTCCTTTGCAATTTTTGCATTATCAGGGAGGGCGTTCTTCATGATTCGAGCGACTAATCCAAAATTGCGAATGTTAGCATCGAGCTCGTCGATCTTGCCAGGCGTGTTAGAGGCGCAAGGCGGGTCAGGCGACTTAGACAAATCGTGAGACATCCTATGCGAGGCTGCGAGGATGGCGTGCAGAAGCGAGCAAATCACGATCCAGCCTTAGGGTTGGGAGGACCTACCATTGGCTATGGGGAGCCATCTGTCCTGCTCTTTTACACCTTCGAACTCATAGGAAAGGCCTCCCGATTGTGGGTCTTGCGCGTCCATTTGTCCTTCGTCCTCGGGTGACGGTGCACCTTGCTCGACATCCTTGGGAGGAGACTGGGAAGAAGCGGACATGTTTGTCTACCTGCAGCGGCTGCTAACGTCTCTATGTATGATCCTCGGGTCGGTACAGCTGAGCCTTGCTGGCGATGATGCGTTGCCGCAGTGGGCCACGTCGCAAGGGCAGCCAAGTAGCTTCCTCTAGAGCCGTTCCGCAGGGCGAGGCGAGGCAAGCAGCGTCTGAAGACCCTGAGCCTGTAGCTGGTCGTCGATGCCGCCCAGCAGCTGGGTATAGCTGATCCCTGTCCCGCAGATTCGGAGACTATGACGCCTGTTTTAGGCGCGTAGCTGGGGTGCGCAGGTAGGCAGTCGGGCGTTGTGGGATGATGGGTTGGCAGCAGCGCGCGCAGCAGCAGCAGCCCAAGAGGGAGGGGGGAGGGGTGGGACGACCCGCAGGAGAAGCGCAACGCGTGTGGTGCAGTGCCGCGGAGCGGTCGAGATGGAGATGGGCTTGAGGTGAATGGAGAATCGGCTCTGTCTATCGCGGAGGGGGTGTGTCGAGAGATTGGGCTCCTTGACTGGCGTTCCCCTTGCTCGGTAAAGCGAAGGGCAAGGCACGGACTGGTTGCGACGGCGATGCGATGTTACACGGGGTCGCGCGCCGGTCTCGTTCGTCAATGGCGTGCTGCAAGATCGCGTCAGAAGAGTAAAGGTCCCTTGGCGCACGTTAGTGCTGCGCTGCCTGACGTCGTGAGCTTGTGAGGGTGTCTGAGTTGTCCACGAGCGAGGCAGGGTTGAGAGAGCAAGGCAAGGCAAGTCAAGTCAGGATGGATCACTTCGCGTCCGGCCGGTCAAGCAGTAGTTGGATGGATTTGGCATGTGGAGAGAATTGGGTGGGAGACGTGGGGTCCCGCTCGCACCGCTTCTCTTCCCACCCAGCAGAGACACTCTCTTCCAAGTCTCTACCCGGGTGCTGCTTCCAGCACTAGCAGCATCAATAGGTGCTGTAGCTACAGCAGCATTCGCACCACCAGCCGCTGTTCATTCCATCCTTCTGATCTAAAGAACGGAAACCCCCCGAACCAAATCCAATTCTAGCTGTGCTTCCCAGAAGCTCCAAGAATCAACAACCAGGCGGATAAAAAAACACTAGACAGACATGTCATCATCCAAGCAATCGTGTAGTATGGTTGGCTGTACATATTGATGGTGCCCACTGCCCTGGGCCCCTGAAGCTGCTCTTACCTGAAGCGGACGTTCAGGTACGCATGCCTGCCCATCTACCCAAAGTCAGTAAGTCAAACCTGCCTGCGTTTGGGCGACGACATAGTCAATATGTGGAAGCCTCGGGCCATAGCAGCGCTAGACTATACCTCCATCAATGGTTGTATCAACTAAGGCATCTATCTACCTTACCCATGAATTATCTCCCAAAATACTAGGCTTGTTATCAACGACATCGTGTTGATGGTTTGATGTACGGTCCGCCAGAAGCTGGATATCTGACTGCATCCAGGCATCAACAAAGCAGTGAATATCTCACTGGACACCAGGAGCTCTGACAGCGTTGTCACCCATCCCCTCGATACGAAATCCTGCTTCATCGACCGTGCCGTCCCAGACATCCGGCTCATCGTAGAGAGGCGGTGTGTCGATTGGCTGTGCCAACGGGTCGATGGGTTAGCCAAAGTCAGGTTAGCTCTCGCTCACCCACCCACGCATGTCTGCTACTGTGTATTACATGCCTGCTCATGATCCATTGCTCTTCTTCTGGGTTCCATGTTTCCCACACGTTGTTCCAAGGTGGGGAGATATGGATTGCAATGTGTCAATCAGCAGGCTAAAACATACGTCACAAGATACCAACGAGTCCGATATTGATACCCAGTCTCGGACACGCTGTTGTCCCCGGCTTGGTGGTGTGGCTAGCAACCGACTGGGTATCACAGCCGTTGCGACACCACCACAGCATGTGCAGGCCAAGCCACTCATTTGGTGGTGCGAGCCATTGGGACGGGAGAGTTCTCGCTACTTTTCCTTGAGCGAGTTTGGGAGCTGGACCTGGCTGCGGGGATGGTGAGCCCGATGGGCCTGTTCTCGACCCCAATACTCCCTGAGGCTACCAAGGTTTAGCAATATTGTATGCAAAGCCTTCTTTCCCGCCTGCATATTCTGACACATGGAACGCGCTGGTCTCTTGAGGCGGCTCCAAAGCAACATAACCTGGCCAATTGTTTACACCCCTTCACGTGGCATTGGGTAGAGTGTAATGTTTAGACCCTCTCGGACCATGTTTCGTGGGGCCACCTCTCCTCATTGGCATATTGATACCCAGTTGAGTCTATTTCCAAAAGTGACGGGTCATTCAAGCTGCATGACCACTCTTCGTCCGTCCACCAGCCAAGCATGCTGTCAGCCACTCAGTTGACTTCAGCCCTAGATTCTCACCTGCTCATGTACGGCATGCAGCTTCCGGCATACCGCCAGCCCAATGAGAGAAGCCCAACCGCACCACTTTCCCAGGAGTTCTCTCCCCCTGGAAGAGGGGAGTGAAACCGAGAACTTGGGATCAACACGAGGTTGTCTGCGGGTAGATAGTGCGCTTACCGAATGCCTGTTCGCCCAGTCTAGTGAGAGAAATAAAAGTCTACGTGCCGCCCAACCCAGTACATGGGATCATGGAGGGTAGCATTACGGAGCTTTTTTTGTTACGCCAGGTGTCAAGGCCTCTGACATGCAGCTGAACTCCTATGCCATCATATGTGGTCCTGTCACATCCTAGGCCAATGCCCCGAGAATTGGGTTTCTACACAGTCCAATAGATCGGGTGCGAAACATGGAAGCCTCATCACGACCAAAGCAACCACACATCTTTCTCTGGTCTGCATTGAAGCCTCAAAAAGCAAGCAGCCTATAAACGCACCAACGATGATCTACGCATCATGCAGGCGTCACCCTACCTCTCACACTCTTTTCGGTATTTAGCACGTCCGCGGGCAGGAACTCGGGGGGTAAGTTTTTTATTCCACCGATACGCTCAGGTTCTAGATCATGGTCCCAGGGAGTGTGGTTCATTGGGCAGAAATTTACCCCACGACCACGGTATGCGCTGGCAACTAAGGTAGCTGCAGTGTGGTTGCGGCGCGGGTCATTTTCCACAGCGGCGTCCTTTTTTCCCAGTCTTTATCCTTCTCGCTTCATGGCATAGTATTTGCATGAAGCAAAATATTTCCACCCATTTACCCAGAAGATCACTAATCGTATAAACGAAGAGAAGGGTGTAGCCGGGATTGATACTCGGGGTGAAGCACGTCTGGAGCTATTTTCAAAAGCCAAAGGACATGCAACAGTAAAACATCCAAGGTTGTCACCGTAACCCAGCATGCCGGCGTTGCCCGCCATGATGACCAACTGGTCGTTGTTACATCACTGTCGGACTACCTGTACATTGTTCTTTTTCTGTAGCATTGGTTGTTAGTCGAATGTTGCCCTCCCTCATATTCCGATGTTGGAGGGGGTGCACGAACCTTCCACTTATCCAGCTCATCTTGTTTTGTCTTGTACTGCTTGACCATGTCATCAAGGACCTGTCTCAAGCCTTCTTGGTTGGTCTTGACCGCTGGGATAACATCCTTGACGGTCCGCTCAACAAGCACGCCGTTGATCAAGCGGAAGCATTTTCGGTCCCCCGGGAGGGGTTCCAGAGTTTCAAGAACAAGCCTAGAAAGGAAGAGGGTTCAGAACGATGTGAGCGGTGAAATCCTTGTAGAAGAATGAAATCCTTGTAAAGATTTGCGGTTGAGAAAGAAAAGACGGTGAAAGACATGAAGAATATGAATATACATATGTAATAATATATAATCATTTTTATATAGATAAAAGTGCCTTTCTGACAGGATTAAGGAGAGGGGAATCTGGGAAAGCTTGCAGGTGGTAAGGGAGGGGCAGGAGAGACAAACTTGTGTTCTTCAGCCTCCTGCTCGATATCGCCTATTCTTTGAGCGATCTGTTGGAGGGTGTTCTTGTAGTTGGTGTAGGTACTTTGAAGATCGGCTGTTTTACATGAGCATTTCGTCCACATTCAAGAAGAGGGAGTGAGGCATGGCGGGGGGGACAAACTTTGGGGGCCCTTCTGAGCAGGCTGGGCCTGCTGGGTGGCTGCGGAAGACATTATGCACAGCTAGGCTTCGCTAATGGAGAGAAGAAAAAAAAGGGAAGAAATATGCCTATGGGTTAAACGACGACCGGTTGAGGCGCGTGCTCCTTTGCCGTCCGCCGATGCGAGAAGCCGTGGGTATGTGAGTACGGAATTTAGGTGTGGCATATGGAGGGGCAGTCTTTCAGCGGGCTGATAAGCCACAGGACCCAGAATCCAACCCAAATGTCTAATCGGCGTCGATCCACTGGCTACAATTTCGCCCCGGTCTATAATATCGATTGAACGGAACATGCAACACCTGATTGTCCATCTCGCACCCGCCAATTGATCAGTCCAAATCCGCCCAAAATGCATCCTCATCTGCACACAAAGAACGCCATGGGTACGGCCCTCCCCCCCCATCTCGCTGCATTCAGGCGCAGTACCCTCCCACCTTGTGCGATCCACCCGCTAACATCACCTTTAAAACGACAGCGTGCGACGAGGTCATCACCGCCCTGGAGGAGTGCCACGCCCAGGGCTTCCTGCACAAGGCCGTCGGAAGCTGCAACTCGGCCAAGGACGCCGTCGACGAGTGCCTGCGCGCCCAGCGCGCCAAGGTGCAAGCGGACAACAGGGCGATCGCGCGGGCCAAGCGAGACAAGCTCAAGGCGGCGCAGAAGGAGCTGGGGTTATAAGCTGAAAGAATAGGAACGACGGCTCGATGCTCGTGGGGCGGAGATTACTCGAGAACGAACACTGGCATGGACATGTACTCAAACTGTATTACTATCACGCATTTTGCGGGAGGAGAACGGACAACCCCCGACTCCTCGATTGGGAACCAAGCTCGAATGGAAACTCAATTATACGCGGCTACGAATCGAGAGAAAGGCTAGGACAGGATTGCTCTCTAAGCCTGGTATCATAATTGGAT